ATCTATATACATTTATATGTTTTTTTTTTTATTAAAGTGGTCATTCTCATCAATCGTATATAAACGTCATTTTTAGGAAAATTCCTAATATTCAGTTCATTGAAATTTTTATTTGGAATTTAAAACTACTGCAACGTTTTCCAGATAAATTACAAATTGCTGTTTAGATCTAATTTCAAACATTTTATCTCTAAATCCCCAGAATTTATTTTAAAATTGACTAATGAAGAACACACAAAAATTTCTTTGAAATTGGCATTTAGTTCACAAAAATGCCATTCTGATATTATGTTCTCATCTAGGAAAAAATATTAATTTTTAAAAAATCCTTGCAAATAGATGGGGCAGTTTGTTTAATTATTATGATATATTAAAAAGAAAACAAAAAAAGCATTTTAGAATGTAACACATTTAGGCTAATAATTTGTTTCAACCTCTGTTATTCAGGAACCATTGTTACAAAAGTAGCACATTTAACGAAAACACAAATGCCTGGTTAAGTTGTTTACTACTGGAAGCTCCACAGTACATAGCAATTTGTGTTTTCGTTAAATGTGCTACTAAAAAGGAATCGAGTATATTTATAATTATGCTAATAAAAATAATTTTAAAGCCAAATATCATCATCATTTTTATAATTAGCTTAAAACCTAACCTTAATGTAAGTAATGATTTTAAAAATGAATTATTATTGGAAAATATATTGCATATGTTTGATACTTAGTAATAAAACTTATAAGAATTATAGACCTTGATGGTGAAGTAATGTTAGTTTAATAAAGTGTTATTAAAGTCTTTAAAATTGCATAGTTGCAAAAAATAAATGAATTAAAATATAGATTAGTGCCACAAGAGTGAAGTAAAACATCGGCTTGTAATCAGGAGCTGCCAGTACGATAATTTTAATCGAATACTGTAAACATTTAACAGATTGGCTGTATATATACGGATCAAGAAATATCGAAGGTAGCGATATTTGATAGATTCCACTAATTGTAATCCGTTCAAGACAATAGCTTCTATTCTTTAAAAACTGTTTAAAATGATAATTTAAATAATAATTTTTTAAAATTAAAAAAATATATATTATCGTTTACACATTTTGCTCCATGGGACACTTGACTTCCCCGGGTGGTGTGGCCCGGAGAGATGGCTAAAAGAAACCCTGGTCTCTAGGCTTTAGGTACAGAAATCTCTAGGCTATAGGTGCAAAATTCACTAGTCTTCATATCACAAGTCAATTGCAATCAAGTTATATATACCACAGTACCAAGGGAGGGCAAAGACTTAAAGGGAGACGCGAGCTAACTAATTAAATTTCGTTTTTTGAGATGTCTCCTTGAAAAGCTCTCAGAAGTCATTATAGTACAGCAGTTACAGGGTCTTTATAGTACAGCAATTACAAGGTCTTTATAGTACAGCAATTAAAGTGACTTTATAGTACAGCAATTAAAGTGTCTTTATAGTACAGCAATTTTAGAGTCTTTATAGTACAGCAATTACAGGGTCTTTATAGTACAGCAATTACAGGGTCTTTATAGTACAGCAATTACAGGGTCTTTTAGTGTGAATAGTTTTGTCTCGTTGCAATCTAAACACATTCTACAACGATAACGCAAGTGTCCACGTATTTAGCGCAGGACATAACTCGTGTCCATCCACGTCATTATTTTAAGAACACGCGAGGTACCTAAACGCAGTTGAGTTGTTAAGAATGGTGCGCCTTCCCGGGTAGGGCTAAGATTTTTGCAATGCCATCCATATCCGGAAAAAAAAAAAACGGCTTTAGTTGTCCGGAAATGATGCTCCCAACTTTTATTTCCAAATGAAGGAGGAGACAACTAGCAAAGTGCTGACAAGGTCCGACCACACCTTCCACAACTTTTCATACACCATGATAATAAGAGCGTATATATAAATATACAATAAAACGTACCCTGACATGTAAATAAACAATTTGCGGCGCGTCGTTTGAGAACCACTGTCTAAAAACGACATCCAGTTGTAGACACCACGTCCTTGTTTGGACATGACTAAACTCTGGTCGGGACAGGATGCAGTTTGCAGTGATTTACCCTACCATTGTGTGAAGACTCGAGCAGGACGTGTCATGGTATCTCTTTTCAAGTTTTCAAACAAAAGTATCTACATATTTTATGAGTTAGAAGTATTTATACTTGTAGCTCTCCATAAGCTAAGAAAAATGTAGCTCGCAAACATATCGGTTGAAAGGTGGACATTAAATTTTCGTTCGCTATTGGATTTTGAAAGAAAACAAACATCTTTTAGATATCGATAAACTAAGGACACCATGACTTTTAAAAACAAAACCATCTTTACAATGTTCGTAAAGTTAGGCTTAAATGAAATCTTGAAGTTAAGGTAGCGGTCTGCAAACTAAATTGGCAAAAGAGCCAAAAATCAGCTGCGGGACGATTAAAAAGATTTTGAGAGCGTAAATTTATTTTCCAGAACCTGGCAAGAACCATGTTTTTCGTAGTCAAAACCGATTTTGTCGTTGACTGGCCGAGCCGCATTCAAGTCGTTGAAGTGGAGGATGCGGCACGCAAGTCACGATTTGCCGACCACTTAGTCAGGGTAAAGTGATATTGTGAAATTAGTGTTAAGAAGTGTCATGTAGTGAGACTTTAGTTGTGTCGTGGAAATTAGGGCTCGACTGATGTTTGAAGTTTGGGTTATATGATTTTATGAAGTTACCCTTCAATGATGTCAAAAAGGTACACTTAAGTGATGTCGTGAAGTTAGGGTTAATAGATGTCGTCAAGTTAGGGTTAATAGATGTCGTGAAGTTAGGGTTAATAGATGTCGTGAAGTTAGGGTTAATAGATGTCGTGAAGTTAGGGTTAATAGATGTTGTGAAGTTAGGGTTAATAGATGTCGTGAAGTTATATGTAAGTGATCTCTTGAAGTTAATGTTAAATAAAGGCATGAAATGAGGCTTAAGTAATGTCCTAAAGTTACGGTTAAGTGATGTCATGAAGTTAAACTTAAGTGATGTAGTGCAAATAGGCTTATTTTATATTATAAATTTAGGGCTAGGTGATGACATAAAGTTAGAGTTAAGTGATGTCGTGAAGTTAAAAATAAGTGATGTCGTGAAGATAGACTGAACTAATGTCGTGAAGTTAGACAAAAGGGATGTTGTAAATTTAGACTGAAGTGATTTTGTGCAGTTAGGCTTAAGGAATGTCCTGAAATTAGTTTTAAGTGATGTCAGAGTTAAAACGATGTCAGGAAGTTAGACTAATGTGATATCATGAGGTTAGGGCACAGGGATGTCAAATTAAGGTTAAGTGATCTTGTGAGGCTAGACTTAAGTGATGTCGTGAAGTTAGGCTTTGTAACAAACAGACTGTGAAGCCACACTTGACTCACTATGTAACAAACAGACTGTGAAGCCACACTTGACTCACTATGTAACAAACAGACTGTGAAGCCACACTTGACTCACTATGTAACAAACAGACGATGAAGGTAAACTTGACTCACTATGTAACAGACAATGAAGCCAGACTTTACTCACTATGTAACAAGCAGACAACGAAGCTAGACTTTACTCACAATGTAACAAACAGACAATGAAGCCAGACTTGACTCACTATGTAATAAAAAGACAATGAAGCCACACTTGACTAACTATATAAGAAACAGACAAAAAGAAACACTAGACACACTATGTAACAAACAGACGACTAAGCCAGACTTTACTCACTAAGTAATAAACAAGAGGATGTCGGACAGAATGTGAAAGCATTTTAAGTACTCTCTCTCTTTAGGGAATAAATGTGTCAGTGAGTTTCGTTGAGCGAATTATTTTGCCTTCATCACGATCATCATTTTAAAAAAATTATTTCATTATTTCTTTCCAGATGTTTAGTGTCGTTTTAACTTTTTTTTTTTAATTTAAATTTTTCTTGGAATCATCTGTTCTTTTTAAAATTTATAGTAACTGATGTCCTGATTTCACATTATGTTATATATATATATATTATGTAATATAGACGACATGACCTTCTCTTAAAAAAAATGATTGGACACTTTAGTTTAGAGAAACTCTCTAACTCCCGTTTGACCTATTTATCTTCATAAAAAGAATTAATATTTTAGAAATGCATTAAATTATTTCATTATAATATCAGGTCTATCGCTTTAAAAAATAAATACATATCTTATTGTATGTTGGAAAAGGAAAAGCAAAAATTGCCAAAATTCCCTTAATTCACTTAATTTAAAGAGGTCTTTTTGCCATTGCCCCTTGGTCACGGAATGTGTTTGTCGCAAAGTACAAACACTTTGCTTTGGGGTACCGAGTAGAAAAATGATTCAATTATTTTATTCATAAAGTATATTTTAAAAAAAAGTATGTCTCTTTTAACCAAGCATTTATTTATTTTTTTTTTTCGTAAAGAATGTCATCAGTGAAGCTTTGTTTGGGGATCACTGCATTTCTGTCTTTTGGGACCACGATTACATGTGTCGCATCAACGGACCCTGAATCCTGGACTGACAGCGCTTCCACACTACTTAGAGGATTTAAGCAGCCAGTCCACAGACCTGAGAGTGAAAACGTGATCGGACGTCGTAGACGAGGCTTTGACAGCTTCAGAAAATTCCTGAGCCACTCTAATAAAGATAACGAGAAAACTCAGGCAGTGTCTTATAATGGCAAGGGACAAGAAGATATTAATGACATGCTCCATCCGGAGAACTCCTTTAAATGCCCGCCCTGCGTCTGCAAAAATGTCAGTTCAAACTTAGTTTACGTCTTTTGTGACGACGTCAAATTTAAAGGTCATCTCCCTCAAACTTGGCCAGAGGATATAGATGCAATAATAATTGGTGGAATGTGTTTCGGTATTGAGGTGTTTGACAGCAGGAGCTTGTTGATGTATTCTTCTCTGAGGCGTGTCAAAATCTCCACTTACAGCCTCGCCTTAGTCCTCAGGAGTGATATCGTAAATGTTTCCTCCACAGCAATCGAATTGGATCTTTCGTCGAACATAATTTCAACAGTTGAAGAAGACAGTTTTGTGCTTTTCCCAAATCTGTTAAATCTATCGCTCAGCCGCAACGCAATGTTAAATTTAACGAGACAGATGTTCACCGGACTCTATAGTTTGCGCTCCCTGTCTGTTTCAGATAACTATATCAACTTTATTGCCAATGACACATTTGATGACCTGGAAGCGCTGGTCACCCTTGACATTAGTTTCAATTATATGACCTATATGGGTCATGATACTTTGCCTGCTCGTTTGTTCCTCCACTTAAATAATCTTGAACAATTGTACATTAACAGAATCTGTGACGTTGGACAATTCTTTTGTGTAACATACCCCAATAAAGCACTTCAAGTGTTAACGAACCTAAAACTTCTGAGCATCGACGGGGCAGATAGACGTGGCTTAGGACCAGAAATTAAGAGCCTTGTACACTTGAGGCATTTGATAATAACATATCCAGAAACAGATAACTCTACTGACGAATCCTATTTTGATAACGTGCCTTTCATAACGACGCTACAATTGTCTAGACCGTTAATAAATCTCAAGGCGTTTACAAAGCTTAAAAACCTGGTTAACTTTACATACTACTTGCACTTCGGATCTCGTGTAATAAACATATGTCAGGTTTTGAGTGACATTCAATATTTGCAGAATTCTTCTTTGAATTATTTAACATTGCGTCAAGTCAATGACAGAGGATGTGGTTGCAAAGAACTCGGAGCCAAAGACGCCCAGTACTTAGCAATGCTAAAGTTGGTTGAGCTTGACCTGTCTGAGAACTACCTTGTTTATCTGAGTCCAGATTTTATAGTGATGCTACCGGCATCGTTACAGAAGATTGATTTAAGTAGGAACGGGTTGTCGTTTCAAATAGCTCACAGTTTCCATAAATTCCCTAAAGAACTCATCGAATTAAACCTAAACAATCAGTACAATGATTATTATCCATGCCATGATGATGCTGCGATTAGTTCACGTCACATGGCGAATCTGTTGAACGGGGATGAAAATGAGCATTCCTCAAACCTCTCTTTCGTTTCTGCTTTTAAAGAATCGGGAAAGTCCTTTACACTGCAAAACCTCAAACGCAAAATGAAATCTCAAAATACAGACACCATCGAATTTTCAAAAGACTGTCTCCCTCCTAAATTACGAATTTTACGGGGAGACAATTTTAGAGAATTGGGAATTTTTCTGACCAATTACTGCTCTTTATTATCTGTTTACTCGCTGAGGGAGGTAAATCTTGCTGGATGTGATTTTAAAACTTGGGCTCTTAATAATTTACTGCGTGACATTGAAATAGCAAATTTTAACAGCAACTACGCTTCACGTTTTAGCTCCTATTTCTTCCTAGATCACAGCTCATTGAAGTACCTCTCATTTTCAAATAATTTATTGGGAGCTGATTTTCGATACGTTAACGGCAGTTTTTTTTCCGCAAACGCGAAGGAACTCATTGCCCTTGACATGTCGAGAAATTTAATTACCCAACTGGCAAATGATTACTTTAACAATCTGGTGAAACTTCAAATGTTAGACATTTCCAAAAACCAACTTCAGATGATAAACATCAGTTTTGCACACATGACTGAAATAAGAATTCTTGACTTCAGTGGAAACTCAATAACATCGTTAAGTAAGCAATCTCAAGACGAGCTTGACTCCATAGCATCCGACCATCGGGTGTACCTCGATTTGACCTCTAACCCCTTACCTTGCACGTGCGAAGGAATTGAGCTGATGAAATGGATGACCTTGACCAATGTTTATCTTCTGAACCAGGATTTCCTTGTTTGTAGGAATGAGTACGACCAAGTGTTGGAAATTGGAGATCTCGTCCAACGTGTGGACACCTTACAGCGTCAGTGTGCTTCAAAAACTGTCATAATTCTCACCTGCGTTTTTTCTTTTATTGTATTCGGTATTTTGCTGCTCACTTCCTTGATGTATCGATACCGGTGGAAGCTGCGATATTTACGGAGCATAGCTTTGGTCAAACTGTTGGCCTCCAGACCCAGCGCTGTCAGGATCGGGTACAAATTCGATGCGTACATTCTTTACTCAGACGACACCAGGAGATTTGTCTTACGTGACTGTGTTCGCGAGCTAGAAGAGAAAAGAGGTCACCGTCTGTGTATTGAGGACAGAGACTTTTTACCGGGTACCTACAACGTGTCCAACATTGTCAGCGGGGTGCAGAACAGTGCCAAGACTGTTGCCATGGTAACACCGGAGTTTTACCAAGAAGAGTATTCCGAGTATGGCGTCAAGATGGCGCTGATGGAAGAAATCTTTATGCACCGTTCCGTGCTCTTCCTGTGCATGTACGAGCCAACCGATAATACGCGTTTGTCACGTGACCTGCTCACCGCCATGAAACAAAATAACTACATTGAATTGCCACCAAGAGATGACGCATCTGATGAAATGATGGATGACATTTGGAATCAGTTCTCACGTGCTATTGGTAGAAATATTTGTGACGAGATATGATTGGATGGATTTCTCGAGCTTTTTGGTAGAAATATTTGTGACGAGATATGATTGGATGGATTTCACGAGCTTTTTGGTAGAAATATTTGTGAGGAAATATGATGGGATGGATTTTGATGTTTTAATCATTTGTCGCAAGATATCGTTAATGGTGTAGAAAAATAATTTAGATATTTTATCTTTTTTTTTTAATACGTTGCAAAAAAATAAATTAGTGGAGGAAATCGCGAGGAGGTATGAGTACGAATTTTCATAATGTCGGGCAAATTGCTTACCTTCATTGGTAGAAACTTTAGCCAAGAGATACAAGTTAGATGTAATTTAATGGCTCATGTGTTGAAAAAAAAAACAACAACAACTAACTGTTTGTGTTACTTCACTAAAGCTAGAACCTATTTCATTTTACAGTCAATTGTCCATTTAAAATCACCCAAATGATTAGAATTATGTTTTCAGAAATGAATACAGTTATAATTACAAATTTGATTACAGTTATGGTTCCAGAAATGATTACAGTTATGATTACAGAAATGATTACATTATGATTACAGAAATGAATACAGTTATGATTACATAAATGATTACATTATGATTACAGTTATGATTACATAAATGATTACAGTTATGATTACAGAAATGACTACCGTTATAATTACACAAATGTTTACAATTATAGTTCCAGAGATGATTACAGTTATGATTACAGATATGATTTCAGGTATGGTTACAGAAATGATTTCATTATGATTACAGAAATGATTACAGTTATGGTTCCACAAATGATTACAGTTGCAATTACAGAAATGATTTCCGTTATGTTTACATTATTGAATACCGTTATGGTAAAGAAATTACTTCAGTCATGTGGTACAGAATTGCTTACAAGGTCTACTGTTAGGTATGCAGGTGAGCCGGGTGAAGAAGCCCATGAAAAGGCTGCAGACAGTCTTTTGATTAGTCGAATCTAATCTGATTGTACATATATTTTAATTGAAGGTCTTACATTTGTATATATCAGCTTTAATTATGCTCTGTCTTATTTTTTAATGAAATAATAATATTTATCATTTAAGATTATTTTTTATGATAAATAATTATTGTGGAAAAAAATTAAGAAATTTATTATTTAAAATAGAATAAGATAAACACGTTATTAATTTAAAAAAAACAACAAAAGAAACTACAACAAATTAAATAATTCATTTACTCTCATTAGTCCCCATTTCAATGACGTCATTTAAATGTTATTTGAATTGTGCTTTAATTCATATTTTTTATTGTTTTTTTACGATGGTACATGCAAGGGCGTCATTTCAGGTTTTTTTTCATAGGGGGTGTGGGGGGTGGCGCAACTCCCTGCCGTACCCAAATTATGTTCCTGGAAATATGTGTTTTCCGATTTCACGTAAATATTTATTTAATGCTTACGTAAAGATTTCACGTAAATATTTATTTAGTGCATACGTAAAGATTTCACATAATTACTTATTTAGTGCTTACGTGAAGATTTCACGTAAATATTTCTTTCGTGCTTAAGTAAAGATTTCATGTAAATATTTATTTAGTGCTTACGTATTTTTTTTATTATATAGTAGAGATAAACTCCAAGGAAACCATGGCTCAAAGGAAAGTTTTTTAAAAAAACTTTGAGAAAAAAATAAAAAAACTAAGTTAGCTAGACAAAACGTAGTCATTGGATAGTTTTGTAAGGACTTGTTAATACTCATCCCACAAGCCGCTTCAAATGAGCCATCTGACCAATCAGCGACTATCCCAAAAACCAACCATCAACTTCCATATGTTCATTTCTAAGTTGAACCATCCTTTCAGTAAAAAAAAATATTTTTTGTTAATAATCAACAACACTGTGTCCCTATGGAGGTTCATTCACTGATCAGGCCAATAGCATTGTTGCCTTGTTTTATTTCAACAAATTGTACAGATTGTTACACTTGTAACTTTCACATGGATGCGTTACAATAGATGTTCAAGATGTAACGAAATCGTTTTTAAAATGATAAAAAAACGCCCAGTATGTTGTGTTGCTGCACTGGCATTTGTAAAACCTGTTACTGGCAGAGCTGACGTGTTACTGTAACACCTGTACACACAGCTTCTTCTTCTTCTTCTATATCTTAAGGGCCCACGATCAATTTATTGATCATTTTGGCTCCTATGCATGAAGATGGGATTTGCAATGTTTCTGTTACTGGTGTTGATGAGGGAATCATGCACTAGGGGTTTGAAGGCTTGAGGCAAAAGACACAAATGTGTGTAGTGTTGTCGCCTCAACCGTTCCTTTTGAAAGATTGTTCCAGTCCCTGATTGTCTTGGGCAGGAATGAGCAGAACCTATATTGGCTTCTTGCTGGTATGAACCTGAATTGCCTGTCATGGCCTCGTCGCTGTCTATGGGGAGAGGGACGAGTTTCTGTTTAATACCGGAACAGTGGACCGGCCCATTATTTATCTTGTTACTAAATCTATACCTCACTTTTAAATTCAAATCTAAAATTTGCATTTAAAATGTGTATCCGTGGAACAAAGACGACACATCTATGGATGTGGTATGAACAAAGATGGGTACTTTAAATCTGCCACATTCTCTTTTAGATGAGTGCCACACTTCTAAGAAGGAATTCTTTAGGGGCTCTCAACTTGGGCTAAGTGTCCGCTCCAAGAAATAGATATAATCTGTAACTTTAAAAACAAAGGATAGTGCTTGGGGTCTACCCACAGAAACTCATTTTAGAAAAGGGATCCTGTATTCAAAGAAGTTTGGAAACACTGCTATCCAAAAATTGTTTGCGTTTTTTAGGATACACATTTACTTTCACATACGTCATGGGTAGGCTGTCTTCCATTGTATAGGTGTGTTGTATTGTGGGAAAAAATAGTTGTTTCATTTTAAAATGATTTCACACATGAAAACTCGCGCAACTGTGTCCTCCATATGAAGAAATTGATTTTACTTTGTTTTAAATTTTAAATTTGGTGTCTCTGGCACTTTATTTTTAGGGATGCCATTTGAAGTTTAATTTTGAAGGGATAAGTATCTGATTTTTTGGATATCATGCTATTTTCAAATGTATTTGAATAAATGTGGGGGTGGGGTATAAAAAGTTAACGACATCCTCTTTATGTAATTCATGGAATGTTTCAATTATAAATATACATACTGGACTCCATCTCCGGATTTGACTCCAGAGACTATTTCTGATAGATGACATGTCATCCAAGGTTAGCTTCTCATAGATGATATGTTATCCGAGGTTAGCTTCTCATAGATGATATGTAATCCGAGGTTAGCTTCTCATAGATGATATGTCATCAAAGGTTAGCGCTTGCTTGACTTGGTGTTTGGTGGGTACTGAACTCAGTTAACACCACTCAACCACCCAATCACCCATAAATATATGTATATCCTTAATAAATATATAGCTTGAGATTATTTTTGCTTTTAAATTTAATTATTCTGCCTGGTGTCAGCGAGTGACTTTATCCATTTAGTTCTAGCACATTCATTTTTCATATGTTGGTATTCCCAAGTTTGTTGTAGGTGTGTATTTTTTTTTTAATTTTAACTTTCTATGTAGATATCAATCTGATGCACGCATTTACGTTTCAATGTTGCCTTTCTGTCAATGTTATCGCCATGTTATTGCTTCCCTTGTTTGTCTACTAATCGTGGTCTATCTAATTTTCCACAATGAAAATGGAAAACGGTTTGAGAAAACAAACATTTCTCGTGTGATTAAAAATTCATCTATATATATAATTCGCAAGAAAATAGGGCACACGAATACTACCAACAGATAGGCTATATATAGATACGCCAAAGCAAGCAAAACGCAGGCAAACCCTCCCCTCCCTTCCCTTGCCTGCCAAACGTTGGTCTCAAGACATGCGCACTGCGGTGGAGCTACCGACCCCTCTCCTGCACCACCCTCGCTTGCCAACCATGCGCACATCCCAACAAGCTAGCGGCGTATGCTACGCCGCGGGTCGCCTATTTAGTGAAGCGTTTAGGCATAATAAAATAATGTTTAGAAAGCATTGGAGCATAGTGAAATGATGGTTAACAATTAGTGTCAATGCACTTTCAGTAAATAAATCTTTAGAACTCGGTCAATCGTCCTACCATTACTTCATCTGGACAACTCAGTCTATCCACCTACCATTACTTCATCTGTAGAAGTCCGTCTATCCACCTACCATTACTTCATCTGTAGAACTTAGTCTATCCACCTACCATTACTTCATCTGTAGAACTCAGTCTATCCACCTACCATTACTTCATCTGTAGAACTCAGTCTATCCACCTACCATTACTTCATCTGTACAACTCAGTCTATCCACCTACCATTACTTCATCTGTAGAACTCAGTCTATCCACCTACCATTACTTCATCTGTACAACTCAGTCTATCCACCTACAATTACTTCATCTGTAGAACTCAGTCTATCCACCTACCATTACTTCATCTGTACAACTCAGTCTATCCACCTAAAATTACTTCATCTGTACAACTCAGTCTATCCACAAATACTTTATTCTTTAGGTATTTATAACGTAACTTTCATGTTGTGTTGCTACACTCGCCTTTGTAAAACATGTTTCTGGTACAGCTGACCGGCTACAGTGGTTGAAAAAATAGAACCTCTGTTCGTTTACTTAAAACATTGCATGTACATTTGTCATTTAAAGTATGCTTTTTAATTTTTTCTTCAAACTATACTTTTTAATTTTGAAGTTAAAGTATGCTTTTAAATTTGACCCTGAATTCTACTTTAAAATTTGACATTATAATTTGCTGTTAAATTTAAAAAAATACACTTTCCTTTTTAATTTGAATATAGGTTTCTGTTTTATATTTTATTCTAAACGTCTCTTTTAAATTAGAATTTGACACAATTCTTTCGCTGTGATGCTATGTTCAAGCGGCGCGCTAAAGTCAACTT